GTAGCACAACTTGGCGTTCTTGGCATCCAGGCTGAGGAGGACGCGTCGCTCGTCGGGCTCGCCGGCCGACAGGAACGTGCGAACAGCCGCGATGAGTTTCTCGGAGCCGGACGCCACCCCCACTGCGTACTGGCAAGGGGCCAGCGCGGCTTCCAGCTTCGGGGATTTCTGCTGCACTATCGCCCGCGTGACCCAGCGACGGATCGTCTCGCCCATCGCAATCGGCCGGACGCCTCCTGTCGCGACCCCGTCGTCGTCGGTCTTCTCGAACGCACTCAAGCGGGCCGCCGAGAGGAAGGGGCGGAGGGAGGGGGGCACGCGAGAGTGGACGAGGAGCCGGACGAAGTTGGGGAGGGGCACCTTGCATCGCCAGTTGTGGATGGCGCGGAGGTGCTCATAGCGCCACCCGGTCCCGCCCTGCGCCGAGCCCTTGGGCGCGGTCTTGAGTGCCCCCAAGAGGTGCTCATCGTCGGGCTCGAAGACGGTGCGGGGTGCGTTGTTCGGCGGCAGGGTGGGGGACGGGTCGAGTGGGAAGGAGGCCGCCGGGTGGAGAGCGCGCAGCTTCGCAAGGGTGTCGTCGTTGTTGGGCAGCACCTTGCCCGATGTGAGCGCGTTGGCGGCCCGACGAAGCTCGGCGCACTTGATCAGCCGACGAGCGCGGCTGGCGCTTGTGGCGGGGGTCGTGTTGCTGCGTCGCCTCGCCCATGCGAGTGCCTCGTCCCGCAGCGCCCTCCAGTCGCCCTCGTCGAAGAGGCGGATGCGGGCCCGCCAGATGCTGGGGTCGCTGCGCTTCGTGGGGAAGAGGAGCAGCGTCGGGAGCAGGAGCACAAGACGGCACGCGGCCTCTTGGAGCTGCGGGTCCGCGTGATTGACCATGAGGTCGGCTTTGGTGGCGCGGAGGGCGAAGTCGTCCTGGAGTGGCCAGCGGGTGACCGTCGGGATGTTGGCCGTCATGATGCTGTGCATGTCCCATGTAAGGAGGTCACGGAGGGCGTCTTCGGGGAAGGGTGCTGGCGGCTGGTTCGAGGGCGGCGGGGCCTGAGGCTGAGCAGGGCCTCGTCCGGCTGGCGGGGGCGGAGGGGGGTTGCCGTGAGGGCCCGGGCCGCCGGAGCCTCTGTTGCGGGGCGCGGAAGACGGCGCAGGTGCCGATGCGTTGTTCCGTGATCCCCCCGACCCGCTGGGCGCTTGGACGGGCGCCAGGGGTGTTGGAGGTTGGTCTCCCGCGGCAGATGGCTGTGGGCGAGGCTCCTCCGAGTATGCGCGGGGCGAGGCCGGGCCGGAAGCGAGGCGGTTGACCACGTCGCGGCGCTGGCCGTCTGGGAGGACGTCGAGATCCTCTAGGAAGGAGGCTCGCTGGCGCAGGGCGTAGCGGCCGGCGCGGGCACGCCGCGCAGCAGCTCGGTCTTCCCGCCAAGCGCGGGTCAGCTCCCGCAGGCGATGGCGGGGGTTTTGGCGGCCGCGATCTGCCCGCTGCGAGCTTTGCGATGGAGGCCACTGAAGCGGAATGGCGTTGCTGGAGGTGAGGAGGGGTCAGAAATGGGAACCAAAGCAGCCGTCGAGCCATACGTGTGTGGGATCTTCCAAAATATGCGGCGTCTGTTTATGTCCTGTCAGGCACAGCTGCGATGAAGGTATGAGTCCCGGCTGAGAGAAGAAGATCAGCAAGGGCCCTATCATCGGTACACAGCATGAAAACTGCTCACCTGCTGCTGCTCGTCGAGCTCTGTGTCCCTCCCTCAGACAGCTGACAAATGATGATTTGTCTGCTGCGGTGGTGGACGTCTCGCTTCTCTTATCGGCGAGTGGCCGACCACCGTCAGCTGCTGTCGACATCCACTGAGGAGGATGATTCCACCACTCAGCTATCGGTCGTCATCGGTGGTGCTGGCGCTGACCAAGGGCTTCCTGCTGACGTCTTCGCCCGTGTGGTCATCCCTTTACTGCCTGTCGACGATGCTGTGAGGCTCCGGGCGGTCGGCAAGGCCTACGGCGCTCAGATGATCGATGAGGCGTTCCTTCTGCGTCGCATCAGCAGCTGCCTGGCCCAGCAGCAGCTCACCGGCCTCATCGATGTGGAGAGGGACCGCGGCGTCGACCCCTCGGCCCCTTCCCTCCCACCATCCCTCTCGCGATTTGGGTATCTCGCTCGGTGTGCCTACGTCATCGAGCGGGCGGCTGAGTGGCGCTATATGGCCACATTTATCAGGGTGGCAAGTGCCTGTGGTGTGGCTGGCCATCTGCCCCTCGTGCTGTCGGCTGAGAGTGTGGCGGCTCATATTCCCGACAAGGAAACTTTCCATCGGCTGCCTGCTGCCATGGCCGTCTACAAGACACTTGGAGATCTGCTCGGCAGTGGCGCTGACAACGGCAGTCAACAGCTTCAGCTGACCGACGGCGGCAGAGGGGAGATCGATGTCTTTGTCGTGCCCACTAACATGCTGCTTCGAGTCGTGCACTTGGCTTCCTACTTTATCTATCTGCTGGCGCTCGGTTGGGCTGTCGTGCACGGGGTGCAATTCTTGGCGTACGTCCTCACAGGTGTCCTTGATCACCTGGAGAAGCTGGACATTACATTTCGTGTCGTCTGCCAAACCGGTATAGTGATCCTCTCTATATTCCTGGGCGGGCTTATCGGCGTGTTGATCCGGAGAGTGACAAAAGCAATTTGGGTGTGGGTCCATGCGAGGAAGAGGCTGGTCCAGCACTATGACGTCGGTGAGAGGACGCTTCGCATCATCGGCCGAGATGAGATGTTCTGCTTTTGCCCCTTCCTATGGCGATGCTCTTCGACACACGGCGACCCGCCCATCCAAGCCTGGGTGCACATCTTCCCCACATTCAGCTCCTTTGCACTGCACACGCTGCTCGGTGCGCCATCCTCCAGCCTGAGGTTTGTGCTCAAGGCCACGGTGAGCGGAAGGCATGCCGGCTATCGTCGTCTCCGTACTGACAACTTGAGCATCGGCCGAAGGGATGTCGTCGTTATCGACTGGCGGTGGGACTTCAAGTTCTGGGAAGCAATCCGTATGGTGGTGCTGTTGGTCGGTGGCGGCTCTGTGGCGGCATCCGTGCTCCTCAGTGATGGCGGGCGCATAATGGTCGGAACCACTGAGGTGGCAGTGGCGGATGGATCTGTCGACGAGGAGTTCCCTGCCACCACAGCTGCCGTGCGAGAGCTGCTGCGGCCATATGGTCTGGGAGATTTGACGTTCCGCCCGTGGTACTGGTGACTGACCTCGCTTGCTTTGCCTTATTGCGACTGCTCTAGCGAACCAAGGTCTGACTCGGTGTGTCAGCGAGACGACATGTGATGGGTGGAAGGATGAAGGACGGTAGCAAGCACAATTCGACGACGTGTATCGTCATTGATGGAACACACATGGGGTCATTCCGACAGGCACTCACACACTCACATGCGGACAGACATGAAGTGAAAAAATCAAAGTCATCACCCCCTAACTCTCCACGACATCTCCTGGACTACATCCATCTCTCCGGAGGTGCGGAGTAGCTTGGCGTTCATGGATGCGAGCTCATTTCGCGATCGGTGGAAAAATGCACGAACGGCGTTCGCGGAGGTGAGGAGGGGTCGGAAATGGGAAGCGAAGCAGCCATCGAGCCATACGTGTGTGGGATCTTCCAAAATATGCGGCGTCTGTTAATGCCCTGTCAGGCACAGCTGCGATGGAGGTCGTATGAGTCCCGGCTGAGAGAAGGAGATCAACAAGAGCCCTATCATCGGTACACAGCATGAAAGTTTCTCACCTGCTGCTGCTCGTCGAGCTCTGTGTCCCTCCCTCAGACAGCTGACAAATGATGATTTGGCTGCTGCGGTGGTGGACGTCTCGCTTCTCTTATCGGCGAGTGGCCGACCACCGTCAGCTCCTTTCGACATCCACTGAGGAGGATGACTCCACCGCTCAGCTATCGGTCGTCATCGGTGGCGCTGGCGCTGACCAAGGGCTTCCTGCTGACGTCTTCGCCCGTGTGGTCATCCCTCTGCTGCCTGTCGACGATGCCGTGAGGCTCCGGGGGGTCGGCAAGGCCTACGGCGCTCAGCTGATCGATGAGGCGTTCCTTCTCGGTCGCATCAACAGCTGCCTGGCCCAGCAGCAGCTCACCGGCCTCATCAATGTGGAGAGGGACCGCGGCGCCGACACCTCGGCCCCTCCCCTCCCAGCACCCCTCTTGCGATTGGGGTACCTCGCTCGCTGTGCCTACGTCATCGAGCGGGCGGCTGAGTGGCGCTATATGGCCAGATTTATCAGGGTGGCAAGTGCCTGCGGTGCGGCTGGCCAGCTGCCCCTGGTGCTGTCGGGTGAGAGTGTGGCGGCTCATATTCCCCACAAGGCGACTTTCCATCGGCTGCCTGCTACCATGGCCGTCTACCAAATATTTGGCGGTCTTCTTGGCAGTGGCGCTCAGCTGACCGAGGGCCGCAGAGGTAAGACCTCTGTCGCTGTCATTTCGCTCCATCCGCTGGTAACTGCAGCCGTTTACCTTTTCTTTCTGCTGTGGTTCGCTTGGGTCCTTGTGGTGAGCACGTTGGGTACCTACCAGGACGTCCGCAATGGCCCTCTCTCGGACCGACCCGTGCTGTGCTGGATTGCTGCCTTGGCGGCTAGCCTTTGGATTAGCGCGACCGTTCTTGCTGGGGCCCTCATGGTAGGATGGCAACTTCCATCCCTGCTCCACCAAAGGAAGCGGAAGGTGCAGTGGTATCGATTCGGCGAGAGGCGGTTCCGCCTTATCGATGGAGACGAGCTGTGGCGGCTGCATCCATTCATGCGTCGGACATGTCGACATACTGACCCGCCCGTCAGCTGCAGCACGCCACCCCTCCGAGTCTACCGTTCATTCAGCGCGTTTGCCCTCGACACGCTGCTGGAGCGGCTCGCTTATCCTTGGGCCCCGGGCCTCATGAGTGTCATTCTCGATGTGACAGTGGGGCGGCGCGGTGGCTATCGTGTCCTGCTGCGGGATGCCTTCAGCGGCGAATCTGACCCGTTCGTCGTCGATTCCCGAGTGGACTCCCCGACAGCGTTTCTCCCTCTGTACGTTCCGATGCGGGTTGTGGTGCTGTTACTGGGTGGCGGCTCTGTTGTGGCGTCAGTTTCTCTCGATGAAGGGCGAATTGTGGTCAGGACGACCGAGGCGGCGGTCAGCCATGGGGTGCCGATTGATGGGCGGTTTCCTGTCACCGTGGCTGCCGTGCGGCAGCTGCTGAGGCGCTTTGGACTGGAAAATGAGACGGTCGGCCCGCTGCCGTGACTGGTTTTGACGTGGGGATGTGCATCGATCTGTGTGCCTGTTTGGTTCTCGAGTCTTTTACCTGTCTCGCTGACTAAACTGAAGACATCGTCAGTTTGTTTGAATGTAGCGAATGGAACACGGCAGCGGCAGCTGAGCTCGTTGTGGCTCGACTGATTTTGGTTTTCCAGTGAGAGAATCTCCACACAGGGGCTTGAAGACCAGCCCGCCACTCGCAGGCGCACCGTTGTCGGCGTCACCCATGACGGATGAATCAATGACACACAAGCAAACAGCTCAGAGCAAACAACTCAAAAGGTCCGGAAGGAGAAAACAGGAAGCAGCAATTCAACTTGACTCACAGCCCCACTGCTGTAGGGTTTCGCTGACGCACGGACGCAGAGAGATGGAAAAGATCTTTGCAAAGACCGCGAGCGCAAGCTTGCAGAGGATGAGCGATGCTCCTCTGTTTTTTGGAGACAGACAACCTCTGCTCAGATGAAGCAGCACTCACGCAGCACTCGGGCATTGGCCGGCAGATGACGTTGCTGGGAGTGTGCGGCTGCTGCAGATCAATTCGAGCCGAATGGCAAATGCTGGAGGTGAGGAGGGGTCAGAAATGGGAAGCGAAGCAGCCATCAAGCCATACGTGTGTGGGATCTTCCAAAATATGTGGCTTCTGTTTATGTCCTGTCAGGCACAGCTGCGATGGAGGTCGTATGAGTCCCGGCTGAGAGAAGGAGATCACCAAGAGCCCTATCATCGGTACACAGCATGAAAACTGCTCACATTCTTTTGCTGCTCGTCGAGGTCTCTGTGTCCCTCCCTCACAGGCGGCTGGCAAATGATGATTTGGCTGCTGCGGTGGTGGACGTCTCGCTTCTCTTATCGGCGAGTGGCGACATCCACTGAGGAGGATGACTCCACCACTCAGCTATCGGTCGTCATCGGTGGCGCTGGCGCTGACCAAGGGCTTCCTGCTGACGTCTTCGCCCGTGTGGTCATCCCTCTGCTGCCTGTCGACGATGCCGTGAGGCTCCGGGCGGTCGGCAAGGCCTACGGCGCTCAGCTGATCGATGAGGCGTTCCTTCTCGGTCGCATCAAGAGCTGCCTGGCCCAGCAGCAGCTCACCGGCCTCATCAATGTGGAGAGGGACCGCGGCGCCGACACCTCGGCCCCTCCCCTCCCAGCACCCCTCTTGCGATTGGGGTACCTCGCTCGCTGTGCCTACGTCATCGAGCGGGCGGCTGAGTGGCGCTATATGGCCAGATTTATCAGGGTGGCAAGTGCCTGCGGTGCGGCTGGCCAGCTGCCCCTGGTGCTGTCGGGTGAGAGTGTGGCGGCTCATATTCCCGACAAGGAAACTTTCCATCGGCTGCCTGCTGCCATGGCCGTCTACAAGACACTTGGCCATCAGTTCGGCAGTGACGCTGACAACGGCAGTCAACAGCTGACCGAGGGCGGCAGAGGGGAGACCGATGTCTTTATTATCCCCACCAACCTGCTGCTGCGACTCCTGACGGCAGTTGTTTACGTGGTCTATGTGCTGCTGTGGATCTGCTTAGTCGTGCACCTTGCGCTGTCTTTCTATCACGATGAAATCCTCAAGGCTCCGCATGACAACTGGCTTGTCTTGCGGTGGATTGGTGCCGGCTTTTACTGCATCTGGGTGGGGACGGGCCTGTTCCTTGCGGCCTTCCTCCTCTATGGGCGGGTCATGATCTTCTTGCTGCACGCAAGGAGCAGGCTAGTGCAATGGTATGCCATCGGCGAGAGGCAGTTCCGCATCGTCGAGAGGAACGAGCTGTGGCGGCCCATTTTCGGCCGCCCTGTCTACTGCCCCAGTGACCCGCCGGTCAACACCGAGGGCCGCTTCCCACTCTCATCCAAAATGACCGATCGCGTCTATCGTTCATTTAACGCCTTTGCCCTCGACACGCTGCTGGGACTCAACCACGTCAATCGCGCCACGAAGATCACCCTCAATGTCAGCGCGAGCTGGCGTGCTTTCCTACGCTACTCAGCGGTGCTGGGCGATTCCTTCCCCTGCGAGCCTGACATGGTCGTCATCGACATGCAAGAGTCAGAGAGGGAGCCGCCAAGGCGGCAGCCACTTTCGTACCGACCCAGACGTGTTGTGGTGCTACTACTGGCTGGTGGTTTGGTGGCCTCCGTACACCTGGGGGAGCGTATCAATATCCACGGGCACATGATGCCGCAGATCGAGGTCGCGACGAGCGAGTGGGAGGTGACCGGTGGGGCAGCTGTCACCATGGCTCGTGTGCGGCAGCTGCTGAGGCGATTCGGGCTCATAGTGCCATGACTGACTGACTCGTATTGGTTGGTTTTTGTGCGGTGGCCATGATTGCTATGTGGCGTGTGTCCGGCACCACCCGGCCTGGGAGCTGGAGGGAGGGGAGATGGGGGGAGGGATAGAGACAGACATGGATGCGTGTCGGTGTGTGACCTTCATTTCTTATGCAAAGGCTGGCGCCAAATTGGCTCCGGAGTTTACCGGAGAGGAGTAGACCTTTATTTGATGAATGGAAAGGCTGCCGGCGCCGAACTTGGAAACTCCGTCAAACAGAGATGCTCGGGAATTTACCGGAGAGGACTCCCCTGGCCAAATGACCTACATCGGCGGCTGGACCGGCCCTGAGAGAGGCGGCAAATGCATCTTTGACAACCAGGTCCACAGCAAAACACACCGCGCCCTGCATTGGGCTTCTCCTGGCGCTTCTCATCTCTCTCTCTCTGTACTTGCAGGATGTGTACGTGGGCGAGTGGGTCACCGGCCATGCGGACGGGTCAGCCAATGATGCCACACCGCCATCTGCCGCAATGCATGGGAGATGCCGCTGCGTGTGTTTCTCGCAGACACGGCGTAAGAGTATGGGATGACGGCTGCCGCTACGAAGGCCAATGGAAGAACGGCCTGGTGAGATCGGTTCAACTTGCTCATCCATGGGTGCGTAATCTTCCGTGGTTGTGTGTGCATGTGCAGCCGCATGGCAGGGGGAAGGTCACCCATGTCGATGGCGGCTACCAGGATGGCCAGTGGGGGCAGGGGATTCTGACAGGGTGGGCGGATGAACGACTGCAAATGGTGTCCTTTTCCATCATTATCCCGTGCCACATGGCCTCGTTGCCCGTTGGCAGCTTCGGAGTCAGTGTCCATACGAATGGCAACCGATACGAAGGCCAGATGCTGAACGCTCTGGTCGGTCGGAAAGCGAGACACAGGGACATTTCTGCATGGCTTTGGTTGCGTGCCTTTGGACAGGCGCACGGCAAGGGCACCTTCACAGGCGTGGTAATCGCACTGATCTCTCCATCCATCCATCCATCCATCCATCCCGCCTCATGCACGCTGTGCTTCGTGTATCGTGCAGGACGGGAGTGTGTTTGAGGGCCAGTGGGTCAACAACGTCAAGAGCGGCCACGGCACCATGACATGGTCCGACGGCAGAGTGTACAAAGGCAACTGGGAGTTCGACCAGGTAGGGTAGGGAAGGCACTGCAGTGCACTGCCGGTGCGGCGCCACACCATGCAGTGCCATGCACCCATGCGTCCGTCCATGTATGTACTTGATGCCGCCCGTGCGTCAGATGAGTGGGTATGGTGTGGAGACCAGCTCATCTGAGGGCACTGAGTACAAGGCACAGTGGCTCAACGGCCTGCGAGACGGGTGCGGAGGATCGCACCACCAGCACACACAAACATTCATTCTGGGTGGGTCTGTGGGGCTGGCTGTGTGGTTGGCAGGCAGGGGTGTCTGACGTACTTCACGGGTCCCCGAAGTGGTGACAAGTACGAGGGCGACTGGCAGCAGGGCTCGGCCACTGGCGCAGGCAGCATGATCTACAGCAATGGAGACAAATACATCGGCCAGTGGCTCAACGGACTCGTACGCACCGACCCCTGACGCCACATACACAGAGAACATGAATGAATGCATCGTGCACTTTGCGCCCCTCCCCCCCTGCCCTCATGACAGAAACACGGCTACGGCATCCAGCAGTATGCGGTGCGACGCCAGATGCAGCCAACCATGCGCATGATGAGGCGTGCGTGCGTGCGTGTGTGTGTGTGTGTGAGTGTTGTGCAGGTGGACATGGTCACGTACGAGGGCTCGTGGGTCAACGGCAAGCGCGAGGGGCAGGGCACCATCACACGACCAGGATGCAAGCCGTCTCAAGGCACATGGAAGGACGACAAGGTATATGGAACACTCAACACACAAGACACAACACACAACATACAACACACACACCTCCGGCAGATAATGACTGGGATCCCTTGCCTCTCTCTCGTGTCTCATCGATATGCAGATGCTACCGCCGAGCCTCCGCACTCACACGTACGCCACCACGACGGGTCATGCAGCCGCCGCACCATGCCTCTGTCACAGGGCCAGCCGCCCGCCGCCGACCGTCAAGTCCCTCACAAACAAGCCTGCATGGACGGCCGAGAAGGCAGCGGCCCGGAAGGCCCGGGCGGATCGCATCATGGCTGAGCTGATCAGAGAGGAGGAGGCGGACAAGGCGCGCAGGCAGGAGGAGGAGACGAGAGCGATGGAGGCGGTGCGCAAGCTCAAGGCCAAGAGGGAGAGGGCGGCCGCGCGCAAGTCATGCCCTGCCATCGAAACACCAGCACGGTGGGTGGGTGGATGGCTGGGCATGAGGCGGGTCACATGTGGCTCACAGGCGGGCAATGTGTGTGTGTGTGTGTGTGTGTGTGTCAGGTCTGACGATGAGAATGAGCAGGAGAAGGAGGACACTCCGGCCGCTTCCACGTCTCTGTCTCCCTCTGCCGACCAGTCCAAGTGAAGCCGATCGCTGCCGGCTCGTGTTGCTAGACGACGTCCCTCCTCTGTCTTTGTGATTTTGGCAGTGTGTTGTGGTTTGGCGTCTTTGAGCCACCTGTGGATGAGGCAGATGAGGACAACGGCGACCCGTTCATTGCCGTCCCCCGCAAGAAGAAGTCCAAGAACAAGCAGAAGGGCTGCACGTACCCAAAGACCACGAACGAGACATCAGCCCACGAGTACAGAGAGAGAAAGACGAGACGGTGTGTTGGCTGTCGGCTGCATGGCTCTTTGTGTGTGTCTGAATGATATGTGTGCAGGTTTGCCCCCAGCACACCGTCACCTGCGTCCGTGAGCAAATGCGCCAGCGCGCGACCCTCCCACTTATCCTCGTTTGCGTGAGTCGACCAAACAAAGCCGAAGGGCACACAAAATCCTGCCCCATTCTCTCCACGATTGGTGCAGTTCTGTGTCGTATGACAAGCATCAAGATCCCCCGCGCCACTCCAGCCGAACCACGTAGGCACAGAGAGAGAGGGAGAGGGAGGGATACAGAGACAAAGACATTGGCAGATGTGCAATGACTGCTGTGTCTCGACATCCATACCATGCAGCCGTATGGCGATGTGGGTGCCGAAGGCGAAGTCACCCGCCCACCCGAGTACGAGTACGACCACACCATATCGACAGACCAAGAGCCTCACAGGTGGGTTGGTACACTGTACATGCCTAAGTACATTGTCGTGTGTTTTGTCCGGCGTCCATTTGCGTGTAGCGGTGCCGCGGCTGCGCAACACGAGATTGAGGTTGAGCAGGAGAGAGCCCGACTCATGCAGCAGATGCAAGACATCAAGAAACGGTCCGCCTGAATGCATTGCCAGCATCTTTCTGCTTTATCTGCCATGTCTCCCCTTGTTCTCTCCATCAGACTGTCTGCTCTCACCCCTCCCCGGCCCCCCACCCCCTGCGCCATGTGCTTCGGGCAGCACGGCCACGCCACCGCCATGTTCATGCCCTGCAGACACCTGATCCTCTGTGAGCCCTGCCTGGCCGTCTACACATCAGCACACGCAGTGAGGGCCAGCCAGGCGGTCATGCGCGGTGAGGAGGAGCCGGTGCTGCGGTGTCTGTGCGGGGCGACGGCGTACGACGCCGACACGAAGGAGAACCTGATGCGCAAGTTGGAAGAGCACTTCACGTGGGGATTCATGTAGGCGTGCAGTGGATGGATGGCGCTGTGTGTGTCCTGCGAGAGACGCGAGGGGTTGGACAATTCACCATCCGTCCATCCATCCATCCATCCATCCATGTGTGTGTATGCCCGCATTGCAACCCTGACTTGTTGATCGTGTGCGTGTCTGTGGATGGGCATCTATCGCATCGTTCATGCGCACGGCCGCAGTGGCTGCTGGTGAATGAATGGTGAAGACCACAAGACAGAGCATATATTGACAAATCCTAGTTAGTCGAAGGAAGAAAGTCCTCAAAACACCAACAGCATAGCTCACAGATAGCTCACTGTCAACAAATACCCAGAGATCTCACACGCCCACCACAGGGAAACCCCATCCGGCACATTACTCACTGGTTGGGGGCCCAGGCGCACTCGGCGCAGTCGGTCGCCCCGACGGTAGCAAACAGCATGAAGGTCCACCAAGTGGCGCAGTCGTCCATCTCGCTCTGGTACACATTCAACGCCTCCACGAAGGATTCCCTCTTAACTGCATTAATGCAGGCAAGCAATGGGCGTTGCAGACAGACAGACACAAAGTGAAGACACTAGCCCCTTCTTGGCTCACATGATGTGTAATCGGATCTGAGTCGCGAGAGGTCGTCCATGCAGACGAGCTCGTCACCATCTGCGTCAAGGTGGAGGAAGAACCTGTGGGCGACCTCACATAGGTTGAGACACTCCGACGTCCAGGCGTCCGTCAACGCAACGCCGCACGGATGTATATACTCGACAAAATCCTGGAACTGAGTGAATGAGGACACAGACAGGCGACAGACAACAACATGCACGGCTCTGATGAATGGCTGCAGCCATGCCATCCTCTCTCCAGGCTTAGTTACTTCCTTGGGGTGCGAAGGGTCGCGAAAGAAACTCCCAAAGCAGATCGGATTGGCGTGGAGCAGAAGGCAGTCGAGGTCGTCTCGAAGCTTGACGACGCTGTGGGGGATGCTGCTGATGTCGTTGACGCGCAGGTCGATCACTCTGACCGCGGGAAGGTCCCCTATCCATTCAGGCACCTCGGAGATGCGGCTGAACCCCAGAAACATGAACCTGCGTTGTTGGCACACGAACCAAGAGAGAGAGAGAGAGACATGCATGGAAGATATTCCCCATCCACACCAGATAGAAAGCCTCACTCGAGATTCTGTAGCTTCCGCAGCCCTTTAGGCACCTCCTGCAGACAAGACCGAAACACACAGATAAGCGCACACACACTAAAAAGCGATTGTTGCATCCCACCTCATCTCATCACCTGTAGCTCAGATCGGCCGCCCATGAGATATCGCAGGTGCGTCTGTCTCTCTAGCCCCTGGCTGCTGAGCTTCTTGATGGGGTGTCGGGGAAGTATTGTGAAATCCTCCTCGGAATCGCCCAGGTATGTCACGTTATAACGTTCCGTGAAATTCTTC